TAAAGATTTTGTTTGTTTATTTATAGAGTGTAGGAAAGGGAGGGAGAAACAACAATTGGTTTCTTCTTGTACACTCCCCAGCCAGAGACTGAACCCACAACCCAGGCATGTGCCATGACCAGGAATCGAACCAGTGACCTTCCTCTTTGTGGAACAATGCCCAACCAACTGATCCATACCGGTCAGAGCAAAAATGACTTTTATTTTAACAAAGAAATTTAAAAGAGCTTATGTCGAACTTAAATCAAAGTCAAGGTAGTATCAGTTACTTCCAGGAAATAAAAGGAAGACAGAAAATAATTGTATATACTTTTAATTTTAAAATGTATATTTGAGAATAAGGACTGGTTTTGCTTGTATCATTTTGTTTAATAATAGCAGCTGCCATTTACTGAGTCCATACCCAGTGCCTGGCACTGTATTGAGCATTTTATATATGACATGGTAGAATGATTAAGAGTACATGCTCAGGAGTCAGACTGATTGCGTTTAAATGCTGACTATTTACTATCTGTGTGAGCCTGAGAAAACTACTGAACTTCTCTGTGCCTGTTCGTTCATTTGAAAAATGGGGTAATAAGAGTATTGACATCATAGGATTGTTTGGGGATTGAATACGTAGTATACTATAAGCTCTCAATATATATTACCATTTATTATCTCATATAAAGCACGCAGATAATTTAATGAAGCCCCCATTATGTAGGTGGGAATATGAGGTCCCAAGTGTTAAGTTACTTGACCAAGGTTAATTACCAAGGTCAAACTCAGTATGTCAAAATCTTAAGACCTACACTTTTAACAGCTACTGTCTATTATATTGCCCATTACACCAGAGAACCTCAAAACCATTTTGCACTTGGGAAGAGTATAAACAAATTTAGCACTATTTCCCTATAAAGAGCCATGGAGTTGCCATCACAGTTGCCAAATTCACTTCTGATGGGCTCATATAAAATTTCATCCTATGAACATTTTCAGTTCATATGCTCAATCATAGGAAGAAATTTAAAAACACAGTTATGTATACTTTGAAACCTAGCAGTTAAACAACAGCAAAGACACTCAGAGTAGCTCTTTAAGAATACCAACATCTGTAGTTAATTTCTCTTTTCTCCTTTCTTGGTAGGTGCAAATGTTTCATGTCTTAAGAGATAGATGTTTTTAGTACTATAAATTTATGCATGCTCTACAGTTGGGTTTTGCAATTAAAAAGTTTATGAGGGCAAAACTAAATCTTTGTGAATTGAGGCTGTTGATATAGAGCCTGGATTATGTCTTTGACTCCTGGTTCAGTGCTGGGTATGCTGTCAGGGCACAGAACATAATAAATAATAACCACAATAAATGTGCTGGGCACTGGTTTAGAAGTTTCCTGGATTGATGAATATCATTTGCTACATGATATTATTCAACTCCGGTGGAAATTACAATTTGCTTGTAAAGATATTTAACTTCAACCTTAAAAAAAATCTCACTCTTTTAGTTATATCTATGTGTTTATCAAGTTTATTTTCCTTTTTTAAACATAATATTCCTTTGAGGGGAACTTAAAAGATTCAGCATTGCCTGGCAGCTTGCCAGGTAGAAAAATCACCATCATCAATTTTCTTTCCAAGGAAAAAAAATGGTCGACTTAAATTCCCAGCCTAAGCTCACAATTTTGATGAGATTCTCACGTGATGCTAAATAAAGCAGGGTCTACACCAGGAAGGAATTTGTGTTGGTGACAAGGTAAAAGTTAAACCACTGTATGTGGGGATAACCAAACAAGGAGAAAAGCAAAGTGTAAAGTCAACACAAAAGGATTATTTAAGGGCATGTCTCTATACAGTGGAGGGTTGTGGCCCCTCTCAGAACATGTCAAGGTAAGAAGAAACCATCCATGTCCTTTCCCATGCCCAAATGCATGTATGTGAGAAGTCTGAGAACCATCTGGGGAAAGGATTAAGAAGCAACTCAAATAGTTGCCTCATTTAATTTTCCTTAAACTTTCTTTTTAAATGACTGACACGCCCTCTCAGGAATCTGCTGAAAATAATAAAACTTCTGCCTATAAAAATATATGAGCACAAAATTATCATATAATTTCTGGAGGCTTAAGAGACCCCTTGAAGACCATCTTGGATCCAGGGTCCCAGGCTGAGAACCCTGAGTCGGTAACATTCTTCATGCTCTGTCGGGCGCAGCTCAGAGTGCTGGCCAAGTTAAATCAGCAGGCCAACTGCGATACAACTGTTACCCAAACTAACCACTTTGTGTAGTTTTTATAGATTTTTAAGTGCTTTCTCATGGGAGCTATTTTATGATACATCAGCCCAGAATCAGACATCTAGGTACTCAGTTAGACAGATCAGATAAGAAAAAGGATAATACTGAATACCTAATCTGTACTGCATTGCTTACCAATGTCTGATATTCCATTAGAATCAGATTTTGTATAAATAAAAATGTCCCCTCATGAAACATAAATGTCCTTGGCTGGTGAACATTGAATTGCCCAGCAGCTAATACATTAGAATGGATATTTATTAGATTCTTTCCAAGGAAGAACAAAATACTTAGGTTTTACAGGCATTATGATAGAGACCTTGAAAAAAGTTCATAAACAAAATTAACAGTATGGTGATTACAGAGGGAAAGAGGGCTGAGTGAGATAGAAGAGGGTAAAGGGGGGAATAAATGGTGATAAATGGAAGACTTGACTTTAAATGGTGAACACACGACACAGTGTACGGATGTGTTACAGAATTGTACACTTGAAACCTATGTAATTTTATTAACCAATGTCATCCAATAAATTAAATGTAAAAATATTTTCAAAAGACACCTTGATCAACAGTTCTCACAGTTTTATCTGAGGACACTGCTGAAGCTCAGGTCTTCCCTTTGCCAATTACTTCTCTGGGCAAGCCTAGATTTTCTTCACATACTTCAATGGAAACAATGTACTGCAACAGACTGGATACAGGACAAACAGGAGAATCCAGCTGTTTTCTACTAAGACAGACATTAAGGATATTTACAAAGATGGAAATAATGCTACCCCTCACACAGTTTTTGTTGTTGTTGGTTTTGGAAAGCAGAGTCAACTTCTAGTGAATTTTTTATTTTAAAGAAATTTACAAATATCTTTAAATTCTCTTTTAATTTATAAATATTGCATACCAATAGCTATGACCCACACACACACACACACAAAAAAGGCTCTTTTGAGATCTAAATTTTATGAGTTTTTAAAGAGTTTGACAACTTGGTAAGTCCCAGAAGCCAGGTCTGGGTAGGATGAGCAAGTGTAGTAGGGTTGGGAGGAGCATGAAGACATCAGTCAAGGGACTGATCAGGGCACTGGGAATCTTGTCTCGAGGACAGGGCTCCTTAAGTGATCCTGAAAGAGAAGGGAAGGTGCAGTCCAGTCTCCCTTCATTTCGTTTGTGGCGTGTCCTAAAGACAACCTTCCCCGTGCTATGGCCACTTCTAGAAAGGATCTCAAGAAAGCAGCAAGAAGAGTCCAGAATCCTAAAACAAGGAAAGGCAGCTACAGGTTGCTGAATGAAGAACACTGCAGCTATCCCGAGCGTGGAAACCATTTTTGGAGTTCTGGGTTTTGCGGGGTTTTTTTGAGGGGGTTGGGGGAGTGTTTTACAGATAATACAAGATTTGTTAATTACTGGAGTTTTGTATTACTTGTTAACACATTTTTAAATCTTTTTGGAGTACCATTTCCTGGGGAAAAAAGTTTTAAAGAGGATAAGTCAGTAGCAGATAGAAGGAATAAATATACCTTCAAAACATGTCTTAGAATTTAACACTTACCTACTATGCACTAAGTGTTGTACTATATAGTACATGCTGTGTATTGGGGAAACGATCTTGAATTTAGAATGAAAAAACGTTTCAAATTATTTACTTGCTACATCGTTTTGAGTTAATTTGATCTCTGAAGAAGATTCATTTTCTTATCTATAAAATGTGGATAATAGTATTTATCTCAAAGGGGTGTTAGAGATTAGAGATAACCTGTGTCAATAGGCAGCACAGTGCATCGTAGGTCTTCAATGAATAATGGGAAAGCGAGTAAAAAGCCAATATCAAATCCAGTAAGGGAGATAAGACTCACAAACACTTTAAAAATACTGGGCGGAAGGTATGAAGTGCCAGAGTCACTACAAATGTATTTAGAAAGTGTAACGGAGATCTAAGGGGGGAGGGGTGACACTTGTTGGGATCCCCGGTATTTGCGGAAATTAGAAAACGATAAATGAACCCCACAATGCTACCACTTCTCAACCTCCAAGGTCGCCTCCTGCGGAGCATCACCGGCCAGCTCCAACCCGCCCCCCCCCCAACAGACACACCGCCCCTCCCTGTGTCAAACTGCTCCCCTTGGTTTCCACGCTGGATGGGAAGCGCTGGGCACTTCAGCCTTGCCGGACCCATCCCCAACACCTTGAGCATGGGTGTACAACCCCAACTCCCCAGCAGGCGTCCATACCGATCTGCAGCCCGGTGGGCCGCACTACCCCGAGGTGCCCACCCCGAGCTCCGTGCCCTACATTTCAGAGGAATGTAGGGATAAAAAAGAGGAACTCCCAAGTTCCCAGCCTCCCATCACCCATTCTCCTCTCTTATGCAGTGCTCCTCAGCCTCCCAACTGGCCCTCACACTACCCGCAGGGGCAGCGCGGAGGCCCCGGACTGCGGCGGAGCTCCGCTGCGGGCCTCGCTCCGGGTCCCGGGGGAACCAAGCGGCTGGGGTTCGCGCACTCGCCCGTCGATTGGCACTGCCTTGCTCGTCTGGCTCCAGTCGCTGGGAAACTGGCTCCGAGACTTGGGAAGTCTGGCAGTGCATTTAGGGGACAGGGATGCAAGGCAGGCCGGCCAGGGGATTGCCGATCGCACGGATGAGCGCGGCTGCCGGCTGGCGTTCTGTCTGGCGGGTGGCGGCGCCAGCCAGCCAGCGCCACCGCAGGCCAGATCGGCGGGGCAGCTGCCTCGCCTCTCGCCGCGCGCCTTATCTGTCTGCCCCGGGAGGGCACCCAGTGCGGGGTTCTCACTCAGCCGCAGGTGGGGGCGGGAGCGAGGCGGAGGGAGGGAGGTAGCGCGGGTGGCGGGCCCCTCCCCTCCTCCTCCCACCACCGCCACCGCGGAGAGCGCAGGGAGCAGTCGGGGGCTCGGCGGCAGCGGCGTCTGGCCCCAGCTCCTCCTCCTCTTTTTCCTCCTCCTCCATCTCCTCGCTCCCTCCATCTGCCGTGGTTATGGCCCTTCGCTGGAGCACAAAAGAGTCTCCGCGGTGGAGGTCTGCGCTCGTCTTGCTTTTCCTCGCCGGTGTGTACGGTAAGTGTCCGCGCCCCCGCGCCCCGCTGACCGAACAAAGCTGGGGCGACCCTGGGCCCCGAGGCCTCCAGGACAGGGCTTTCCCGGGAGACCGAGGAGGGACCCTGGGTGCCGGCGGGACAAAGACCCGGAGTGGGGTTAGATGCAGGGCAGGGGGTGGCTCCGCACGGAGATGCTTTCGTGCTCCTGCCTACCTCCAGACCCTCGGGGTGCCGGAGAGGGGCTTGGGCGTCCGGCCGGGGGGAGCCCCGGTGGAGCAGGGGGGTGGCCGGCGGACTTCCCGACCTGGGCCGGGGGCCCCTTGCATGACCCACACACACAACGATGTACGACTGTGAGAAAGAAGGGGAAGTCGCCCCTGCCGCTGCCGGGACGGTCCTGACAACCCCCGACCTTTTCTCGGGGTTAGGAAGTTCTCTCCCAGTGAAATTCCCACTGCAGCTGCCCCCCGCCTTCCCCTCGCCCTGGAAAAGCAGCCGACTGCTCTCCGCAGATGCATATCTGCTCTCGGGGACCGAGGCTCTGCCGATCCCGGGCGTGCGGGATCCTGTTCCTGCCCCCGGAGCACCACGCAGGGAGAAGGCCAGAAAATAGTTTCCAGCCCCTCCTCAGTTGCTCTCTCTCGGTGCAAACGTGTCTGCGCTGACCCCTGGTTCATTTCTCATTTCATCCACCATTGCCCGCTAACGCTGTCACTGTTGCTTTATTCCAGTCTGTGGATTGGGTTCTTTACCGTGTATTCCTTTGAGGTTAAGAGAACGCTGAAGACGGTGTGTGAGAACTAAGCCATGTATTTCACTGGGGTCCGAACGAGAGCTAAGGAATTGATTGGAAAGAACGAACATTGTATGAGAGACTTGAGTTCCACCACTGACTTAACCGGTCTTAGTTTATCAGACATCGTGGTCGGTGTTTCAGAAAGCGCTGTTAACCTTGACTTTTTGGAGTGGTGCTTTGATTTCTCCAGAAGGAAATAATCAGAAGCTACCCTTCCACGGTTAAATTTTACTTGTAAAAAGTCTAAGTCATTTGCCACAAACGCAACACCAATGGTAGTGGCGATCGAGTTTGGTCAACATGTAATTCATGAGCTAGTATTAACTCCTTTTCAAAGGATTTTGCCCCTGGGATTAAATGGGATGGTAACTTTTAAAACCCAGGAAATTACACATGAAGAATGCAATGAACTATGAAATTAACTGACAGCCAAGAAATAGTTTTGGGGCGTGATTCAGAATGTATTGCTGCCTAAGCTGATTGATACATTATTATTTTTGTTTGGTGAGGGGCGAGGTTTGGCCCACATTTGATGTGATAATTGCCAGTGGCGTGCCTGTTTGTGACCAGAAAACCCAGCGCTTGAGTTTTGTCAGTTGCATCTAGTGGCTGTGATCCCTGCTTGCCTGATGACTTGTGGGTTTGGGTGTACACCAAGAAATCAATAAGCTGTTATGTTGTTTTTTCTAGCCTGAAGGTGAGTACAGTTCTGCTCTGGGTATAGTAATGGCCCAGAGAGAGAAGAAAGGGAGAAGGCTCTTTAATCTAAGGTGATTAGGAGTGTCCAGCTTTATCCTCTACTATAATCAGACTTGAATTTTAGTGACGTCTGGTCAGTCTGTATAAATAAATGGGTTCTTTTGCTCTTCTGTCATTAAAACCGATGTCATTAGTGTTTGAACTAAAAGTTTTCTTGTCTCTAGGCATAAGAGACTATGAGCCCCATAATTTGACTCGGTATATTCTTTTGTATTTGTAAACAAAATGACTTTCTGATAGGTGCTTATCAAAGATTTATGGTTTTGGAATTTGTGTTTAGGGAAGAATTGTTAGGAGGCAAAGATTGAAACTTTTTCTTTTTTTTAAAAAAAGATTTTACTTATTTATCTTTAGAGGGGAAGGGAAGGAGAGAGGGAGAGAATATCAATGTATGGTTGCCTCCTATGGGTCCCCTGCTGGGAACTGTCCTGCAACCCAGGCATGTGCCCTGACTGGGAATCGAACTGCAATCCTCTGGTTCGCAGGCCTGTGCTCAATCCACCGAGCTACACTTAAGATGTTTGTTGTATCCTTTACAATAACCTTAGAGAAGGTTAGTTTTGGTTACTTGCTGCCAGAACATTTGGTACCAGTTAGAACTCTTCCTGGCATATACTGGCTGACCTGTGATAAAATCCCCTTTAAACTGGATTTCAGCTTATTATAGCCAAAGGTCTTTCCTGTACACAGTACTGTTTTACAATAGATACTGTATAGCATAAGATACTCTTTTTAACTCTTACATTTTATATCTAATGAACAAATCTTTTCCCATGAATTTTATGGACCATTCAGTAGCATTTGATAAAATTTCAGTTTAAGGATAGACTGAAAGTTCCAATTTTAGAAAGACAGTAGGAATAACTGGAGCATGAGAAAAAAGTCTAAGCCAGATTCCAGTTTCTTCTAAACAAGTCAAGCTGGATCAGATAAAATATGTTCAGTAAAACTGAATTAACTGCTCAATGTACACTCTTCCGGGGGTTTATAATCTAAGTTATACCCAGCGCCTGCAGAGAACATGAAGGTCTGCAGCACATGGCACAAAATTCTAGGTGGTTATCAGGCAGAAAGTAGTAAGTGGCCATTTTCCGAGGAAGGAGATGGAACAGGTTTGAACGAGGTATGGTAGATGATTTAGATGGTTTATAGAAAGTAAAATCTCTGAAGCATAAGAGCGATGTCATTCTGGCAGTTAACATTAGTTATAGAAAATGTTTGGAAAGAAAAGACTGACTTTTGTGGTTAGAAAACTTAAAGCTTATCAAGAAAATAAGGGAACAATGAGAACCTTTTGTGTTTTCAATCTGAGATGTTTTTGTGGCTGGGGTTTACTGTTTTTTCTTACATGTTATCAATGATATTACAGTTTAATGAATAGAAGATTTTAAAAGGAGATAAACATTTAATATAGATGAGACATACAAATTTAAATAATTTGAAAATTTTTTATTTCAGAATTTTATTTATTTAAATTTTTTTAAATTATGTTTTATTGATTATACTATTATAGTTGTCCTGAATTTTTCTTTTTTGCCCCCCACTTCACTCAACATTCCCCAACTCCCTCAGGCAATCCCAGCAGCAGTTCATGTCCGTGGGTCATGCCTGTAAGTTCTTTGGCTACTCCCTTTCCTCTGCTCTACTTTATATCCCCTTGGCTATTCTGTACCGACCTATTTGCATTTCTTAATCCCCTCACCTCTTCACCAATCCTTCCCTACTCCCTTCCCATCTGGCAACCATCAAACACTCTCTGTATCCATCATTCTGTCTCTATACTTCTTGTTTGCTTAGTTTCTTTTTTAGATTCAATTGTTGACAGATACATATTTTTTGCCATCTTATTGTTCGTAATTTTAGTCTTTTCTTAAATAAGTTCCTTTAACATTTCATATAATAATGTTTGGTGATGATGAGTTTCTTTGGTTATTTCTTGTCTGGGAAACCCTTCATCTATCCTTTGATTCTAAATGATGGGGTTGCTGGGCAGAGCAGTTTTGGCTGTAGGTCCCTGCTTTTCATGATTCTGAATATTTCTTGCCAATCCCTTCTAGCCTGCAAAGTTTCTTTTGAGAAATCAGCTGATGGTCTTATAGAAGCTCCCCTGTAGATAACTAACTGCTTTTCTCTTGCTGTTTCTATCATTCTCTCTTTGTTTTTAACCTTTGGCATTTTAATTATGGTGTGTCTTGGAGTTGGCCTCTTTGCATCCATCTTGTTTGGGACTCTCTGTGCTTCCTGAACTTGCATGTCTGTTTCCTTCACCAAATCAGGGAAGTTTTCTTTCCTTATTTGTTCCAATAGATTTCCAATTTCTTATTCTTTCTCTCTTCCTTCTGGTATACCAGTGTTTCAAATGTTGTACCTCTTGAAGTTGTCCCAAAGGCTGCTTATGCTATCATTTTTTGGATTCTTTTTTCTTCTTTTTGTTCTAATTGGTTGTTTTTTGCTTCCTCATGTTCCAAATCATTGATTTGGTTCTCTGGCTCATCTATTCTACCAATGTTTCTTTGTAAATTGTTCTTATTTCAATTAGTGTATCATTTCTGATTGGATCATTTTTGTGCTGTTGAGGTCCTCACTAAGTTCCTTGAGCATTCTTATAACCAGTGTTTTGAACTCTATATCTGATATCTTATATTTGCTTATCTCCATTTCATTTGGCTCTTTTTCTGGAGTTCTGGTCTGTTTTTTTCATTTTAGCCATGTTCTTTGTCTCCTTGCTGTGGCAGCCTCCCTATGTTTGTTTCTATGTGTTAGGTAGGGCTGCTTTGACTCCTGTCTTGGTAGCATGGCATAAGGTATTAGGTGTCCTGTAGGGTCCAGTGGCACAGCCTCCCCTACCACCCAAGCTGGGTACTTGAGGTGCACCCTTTGTGTGGGCTGAGTACTCCTTCCTCTTATAGTTGAGCCTTGGTTGCTACTGGCAAATCAATGGGAGGGATTTACCCAGGCCAGTTAGCTGCAGGGATGGTCTGTGACCACTGACCATCAGCCTTTACTGTCTGTGGAGAGTCTGCTGTGCAGGATTTAGGAAGTTGTTAATCATGAGCTAATTAAGACCACCCATTCATTTGGAAAAGCAGCCTAGGTGGGCCAGTCAGTTGGGTGGTGCAGAGTCTCTGGGAATCTCCAAAGGGTGTCACACAGTATTAGCGAGGCTGATGGGGTGTCAGATATGGCCCCAGCTTGCCAGCTCTGTTGGGGGGGGGGGGTTTAGAAAAGGGACAACGACCTCTGTTCTCCTGGATGCCAGACACTTCAGTTCCTCCTTTTATGTCACTGGTGCCCTTCAAGCTGCTACCCCAGTGCTGGAGCTTGAGAGAATGCGTCTGAGTAGGTGAGCGTGTGTGTGGGTTAGGAGGAACTGCTTGGCTCTAGCAGTTTCTTCCATCCACTCAGTCCCCACTGGTGTTTGCAGCCAGAAGCTGTGGGGACTTATCTTCCTGGGCTAGGGGCTC